CCTTTCCATGGGGTTGAGTGGTGACTGCACTGTCACAGCTCAAAGTGCCAGAAAGAGAAAGGAGAGTGTAAGAGGAACTAAGAGGAAGATGAGTGGAAGAAAGGAAAGAGACTACAAATAAAAAAATAAAGATCACAAAGTAGATGATGCTAGTACCTCAGGGGCACTTGTTTACTTATTTATTAAGCACTTATCATTTCCCCTTCTTAATCTCTGTACTTTTAAGTTCATTTCCTTTCCCTGGCTCCTACATTTTATTATCATTTAAGCAAATCTGATAGAGTCTCTCTCTCTCTCAAAGACAATTTATTAACAGAAAATAACTTGAGGAGTCTTGTTCACAGAAGGTGTCCATGGACCTCCCTTCCTGCAGGTGCAGTTGGAGGGATGGAGTGACATCCTCAATCCATTTGGTGTCCATGCCCACGCAAGCAAGGGCTCTGAGGGTTGACTGGGCAGCAGGTCCAGGGCTGCCGGTCCTGTTTCCCGCTGTGGCACCGAGTTTTATACAAAGGGTGTGAGGCCCAAGCCCTTCCACCTCTGTACCCTAGCCTGGGCAGCTAACAGGCAGCATATGGGGAGGATCTGTCATAGTCAGCCTGCACCTTCAGATGGTTTCCTGGCCAGAAAGATCAGTGATATGAACAGAAGTAGCACTGAAGGATGCAAAGATGTGACAGACACCAAATACATTCTCTCCCTCAGCCACCTGAGGCTTGAGGATGGGGACCCCTTCCTCCTTTTCCTTCTGCTTTCGAGGTGCCATTTCTGCCAGCCATCTGCAGACTCTGCACTGGGAACAGCAGGGTCATTATTTCTTACACCATTCGGTGTGGTGGCATTTAGGGAAGTGTTTGCAGTAATCAGTCAAAAAGTCACGCACCTGAAAAGATGCTTAAAAGAGTCATAATCTACCTATGGTGGGGTGCTGGGGAGTTCTGTACACTGCGCAAGAATGGGGTTATGCACAGGAAAGTGCTCTGGATACAACAGCATCCACAATCAAGTCAGCAGATGTGAAGTTAGGATGGGAGGGAACCTCAGGGTGTCACTGGGACATTGGCTCCAGTCCCATTGTGCATCTACCTCTACCATGCAAAGCCTGAGGAGAGCACCTTCAGCCTGGGTCAGGGTAATGGAAGCTGTATGTGGAAGGCAGTAGTTCTGAGTGTTTTAGGGGTAAAGCATTAAACAATTGTTTGTTGGTTTGTTTTTCAGTTTTTTGAGACAAGGTCTTGCTATGTATTCCAGGCTGGCCTAGAACTCACTATGTACCCAGGTGGCGACCCTCCTGCCTCAGCCTCCTGAGTGCAGGGATTATAGGCATGCACCATCACACCCAGCTAGCATTAAACAATTTTGAGTTTAGAAGCTCAGACTAAAGATTTAAGATTGTTTTTAGCCTATTTATTCTGACAAAATATCTAATAATGACAAAATATCCAACATCCAAACATCCTCTAGGGTCATGAAGGTGCCTGTCCTGATCAGATAACCAGCATTTTAAAAAATTAATCTGACCATAGTTGACATCAGGGTTGACTCTTTGGGCTGCACATTCTGAAGTTTGAGAAATGTTTGTTGTCACATATCTACCACTGCAGTATCACACAAAATAATTTCACTGCCTTAAAACTTTCTGGTGGGGCCAGGGATGTACCTCAGTGGTCCCGTGCCTGCCTCACAAGCTCAAGGTCCTCAGTTCGATCCCCAGTACTGGAAAAAAAAAAGATCAATGATCAATGATTGCCACACGTTGGGGGAAGGGGGAATAAGTGGAACACTGTAAAGTTTTTTTCTGTTTGTACCGGGAATTGAACTCATGACCTTGTGCTTTCGAGGCAGGCACAGCACCACTGAGCTACATCCCTGACCCAGTCATTGATCTTTTTACTGACTCCATAGTTGCATTTTCCAGAAGATTATTTAGTTGAAACAATACAGTATCTAGCCTTTTCAGACTGGCTTGTTTCTATTCAATTAATAATATGCACTTAGGGTGCCTCCATGTCTTTTTGTGGATTAATAGCTCATTTCTTTAATCACTGACTCCAAAGTTTGCATATTTCAGATTATTTAGCCATTTACCTCCTGAAGGATTTTATTTATTTGTGGAAATATCAAGGAGTGTGATTGCTGGGATAGTAAGAGTATGTTTGCCTTTATGAGAAACTGGTTTCTCAGAGTAGCTGTGTCATTTTATGTCCCCTTTCCTCAGCAATGAACGAAAGTTCTTGTTTTTCCTGCAGCATTTGGTGTTGTTGATGTTTTGGATGTCAGTCATTCTAATATTGTCGCGGTTACTGTTGCATTAATTTGCAGTTTCCTGATGACATATGATGTCGGACATCTTTTCATAATCTTTCTTCCTTTATGCATATCTTCTTTGGTGAGGTTTCTGTTCAGATCTTTTGCTTATTTTCTCAGGTATACTTTTTCATCTTTTATTCACTTAGGACTGTTATCTTTGGTCCTCCTGCCTCCTATTGTAAGTTTTCAGTTTCAGTCAACAGTTGCTGGCTCCAAAGCAGGAACGTATAGCAGAGGAGAGCTGCTCATATCATGGTGATCCAGAAGCTGAGAGACCCAGTGTTTCTGTCTGAGGAAAAACTTGATGGGGGTAGATTTAGTTTATAAGGCCACACATATTTTGCTGTGTTTCTTTTTAAAAATATAATGACATTTGCAAGAGATAAAGGACAGTAATTTGTTGATTGGGACATATCAGGTATCTTATATTTTTAATAAATGAGTATTTACCCATACAGAATCATAGAATTATAACGCTGAGGCCACCTGAGGGACCATTTCTGACCTATTAATACTGCCTTGGGTTGTAGGCCTGACTCTAGACCAGCCTAATCAGAACCTTAAGGGATGGAACCAAGAGGCGTCTCTACTTTTGAAGCTCTACAAGTGATTCCAGTGTCCAGCCAGGAATGAGAAACACAGCTGCAGTCTCAAAATTCCTTTACAGATAAGTACACAAGGTCAAAGAGATGAAGCGACTTCCCGAAGTCACACCACCAGTAAGAGGGATCTCACACCCAGTTTCTCTAACTGCCAATTCAATGTTCTTTGCACTCTTCTGTCTCTTCTTCGGAAACTTAGGGTTTTGGTGAACATCAAAGTTATACAACTTCCAGTTGAGGGAGAAGGGCTGAAGTCCGTCAGCAAGGATTGGTGGAGCAATTTCTGAGGACTCAACTCAGTCATGTGTTCTCTGAAGACCACCACACCCAGGGGCATGACTAATAAATATCTATCATAGCGTATGTCAGTCCTGTGCTGTGTAAGTCACTTGTTCATGGCTTATTCTCACCCATGATGGACAACATTCATTGATGTGGCCTCACTTTCAGGAGTTAGTCACATCAGAGCAAATAATAGGCAGGGTAGATCAGTGGTTCTTAATATTTGGGTTGGAATGAGGGCTTGGGTGAGGAGTTACAAGTCCCATTTGAGGAATGGTTAAGTCTATAAACTTCCCCCAGAAAAATACACATACATAAATGTTGCATGTAGCTGGGTATAATGGTACATACCTGTAATCCCAGCACTCAGGAGGCTGAGGCAGGAGGATTGCTGTGAGTTGCAGGCCAGCCTGAACTACATAGTGAGACACTGTCTCAAAAAAACAAAAAAATGTTGCATGTAATTTCTGAGGATTCACTGAACCTCCCCACCCTCCAAAAGCCCTGTCCAGGCTCATTTATAGACCCCAGTTTAAGATCTCCTGGACTGGATGATTTTAAGCTTTATTTTAGCATTTCTTAAAATGTGATCCATGACCAAAGCATTTGAATCACTTGGGCTGTTTGTTTCAAGAAAATAGCAAGCAGAATGTGGCCATGCACACATATAATCCCAGCCATTCTGGGAGGCAAAGGCAGGAGGATCGAAAGTTCGAGCCAGGCCTGGGCAATTTAGTGAGGTTCAGTCTTAAAATTCAAACAAACAAACAAAAGCAGATTTGTAGGATTTCCACACACTTTGTATTTCTAAATCTCTGGGGGAATGAGGTACACTAATCTGTATGTCAACAAATAAACCCTGAGATGATTCTTTTGGAAACACTTGAGAATCAATGTTTTATTCCAACTAGAGTCTTATATGGCTTCTAAATGCTTTCATCTGCTGACTTAGGTTTCCTGTGTTCACTTGACAAGTATACCTAACACTATGTTTAGTACAAACTCATTACAGAATACTTAAGTGTATGCATGTAGGAAAAATATGTGTGTGTGTATGTAATGTTAAGTCTCTCTCTCTTTGTCTCTCTCTCTCTCTCTCTCTCTCTCTCCAAGATCTCACTATGTAATTCAGGCTGGCCTTGAACTCACTATGCTGCCCAAGCTAGCCCTAAAGTCGCAGAGATCCTCCTGCCTCAGCCTCCTGAGTGCTGGAATTACAGGCATGCGCCACCAGGCCTGGCCAACAGGGTTTCTCTTTGAGTGGATGATCTTTATTTTTTTTCTTTATCCTTCTATTTTATTTCTCCCCCTTTTTCCTTCCTGTATTTAAAAAATGATATTTCCTCCTTCTGAGTTCTATTTCCCCATCTGATAAATTGAGTGTTGTGACTTCGCGTACTTGGAGATCCGGGCCTGCTCCGGTGGTCAGTGACTCCATACCACCCCCTAGCTCCCTGGCCCATTTAAGCTTGAACTGCCTAGGTAGCAACGACATTTGGCAAATAATCATGTATTATTTTGTATGTATTACGTTGAAATGCCTAACCATTTTTCGTCAAGAAAATTATTCTCCTCTTCCTTAAGGAGCCAGAACAGAAATAGTGTATCTACAGCCTTCAAAAGTTCACCTTCTCTCCTTAGCCTTAGAAAATGCTTTCCGAGCACATCTCTTAGGAGCTTAATAATGGTTGTGAACCACAAAACCAGGACGTGGTCTCCCCGCCCACTGCCCCCCCGCATCACTACCGCTCGACCGGCTTTCCAGCGCGCCTATTGGCTGATGGCGAGGCCAAGCTCCGCCCCTGATCTTATGACTCGGGCCGGAGCGGCTACTCCTGGCTCTTGCGGCGCTGTGGTCGGTGGTCCTCCAAGTTCTGGCCTCAGCTCCCGCGAGCTGTGTCGCTGGTATTGCTGCATTCGCCGCCGCCTCGTTCGCCCGGCGGAATCATGCTGTGCTTCCGCTTCTGCCCTGTTCCGCGCTTGGAGCTCGTTCTCCTCTGCCTAGTCCTGGGTGAGTTGTCGGGCCCTCCGGATTCGACTCTCAGCCTGGGCCCGGGGCGCTGGTTCAGAGGCCACACAACCTGAAAGACTGGTCCGGGCCGGGCTTCAGAGGCTCGGCGGCTGACTCCGGGAGGTGTTGCTGCCCCGGGGAGACGAGCAGTGACCTGAAGAAGGCTTAAGCGAGGGGTGGCGGGAGAGAGGGCCCGCGAGAGTTGCGCGGGGCCGGTCGGGGCGGAGGCCGGCGGGTGGGAGGGCGAGCGAGGAGTTACTCGGGGCGCGCGCCGAGGAGTGAGCAGGCGGGGCGGGGCGGCCGACACCACTGGGGGCGCCTCGGTTTCCTGGTTTCAGGCAAGTTTCGAAGATGGTGGGAAAACTGCCGGAGGAGGAAAAAATTGGGAAAGAAGACCACCTGCGTGAAACCGCCGGCGGGGAGAGCGGGGGTGCGGGCGGCTAAGGACAGTAGTGCCGGAGGCGCGGCGATACGATGCCTTTTTTCCTTTTTTTTTTTTTTTTTGAGACAGGGTTTCGCTATACTGGCCTTGAACTCGTTTTATAGTTCAGGCTGGCCGCGAACTCTCGGTTACCCTCCTGCCTTCCTTCCTCCCGAGTGCTGGGATTACAGGAGAGTTGTGGGATTACTAGTCATGTGCCACCACACTACGCTTTCTGGGGGGGGGTTGTGGGAAGGAATTTTTTTTTTTGAGACAGGGTCTCATTACGTAGTTGAAGCTGGCTTTGAACTCACGGCAGTCCTCCTGCCTCAGCCTCCTGAGCGCTGAGATTGTAGGCGTGTGCCGCCGCGCCCTGTTGGTAGGAAGCGATTTGAGTCTGTGGAGAAAGGGTGATTAATGAGATGAGGAAGGACGCAGCATTTGAATTTGCTGCTCAGAGGGTTTTTTTGAGGGGCGGGTACTGGGGATCGAACTCAGGATCTTGCGCTTTCGAGGCAGGCGGTGGCACTACTGAGCTAAATCCCCTGAGCTTAATCCTCAGCCCTGATGCTCAGAGTTTTGAGGGTGATGGGACCAAGGGTGGCTGGGGACAGTTGTCAGGAGAGAAAACTTGGTTTCAACCTCTGCAGACTAAAGGAACGAGTGAGAACTTTGGCTGGGAATATCTGACTTGGAAGTATTGAGGATATAGATTTTCTTTCTTTTTTTTCTTTTCTTTCTTTTTTTTTTTTTTTTGGTACCGGGGATTAAACTCAGGTCCTTGGCGCTTTCGTGGCAGGCGGCGGCACCACCACTGAGCTAAATCCCGGGCCCAACGATATAGATTTTCTATCAGTTTTGCTACTTCAGCCAGATACTGACAAAAAAGCCCCCAGGTGCTGCAGTTGGGAGAGTTTTCCAGGTGGGAGATTTTGGTGGTTGTTTATCTGAGTTTTGTAGGACACTTCCTTCCCTTCATAGTCTCTTGATTTCTTCTTCCCCACCATACATTGGCTGTTGCCTGTTTTTTTCTGGAGGAAGTACATCACTTTTCAAGGATTGGGTTATTTTGTTAGAAGAATGGCTGGATGAACGTCCATTGTGCTCTGCCCCAGTAAACTGGATCCCTAACAGTTTTAATGTCTAAAGGCGAACTTTGACCAGAATGTCTCTTCCTGACCTCATTCATCCTGTGCTTATTACCCACTGGCTCTTGCTGTTTGTGACTGAATAAAAGCGCAGAAAGGACAGATCTAGGGCCCGGGATTTAGCTCAGTGGTTCTGGTGCCTGCCTCGAAAGTGCAACGTCCGGAGTTCGATCCCTGGTACCAAAAAAACCCAAAACAACAACAACAAAACAGATCTAGGTGGGAGGAGGGAGGAAATAGACATATTTGGGGGCCTGAGGAGGCAATGGGAGGTAAGTATTTTATAATTCACATTTCAGTAGAATACTGGTGTACCCTGCTGCACCCTGGTCCACAACCAGCCGATATTGGGAATATCTGAAGATATTTTTGGTTGTCACAACATGGGGGAGAGGGGGAATGCTCTTGGCATCTAGTAGATAGAAGCCAGTGAGACTGCTCAACTTCTTGCAAGTACAGGACAGCCCATCTTAACAAAGAATGATACACTTCAAAATGTCAGTAGTGTCAAGCTTGAGGTCCCCTGCTTGAGGACCATAGTTTTGAAACAGGTCTTGCTTATCCAGTCCTCTAATTCTCTAGGTCCTTTTCTGGGGACCTGTGAGATCAGAACTTTCCAGAACAATACTAAGAAGGTATTTGTCCTTTGCACTCCAACCCATTTGCCAGCATACAGTGGAGTTTGCCAGAAGCCACATAATGTGTGATGACATCACCACCCTGATGCCTCTAGTGCTCTTGTGTTGCACTCATGTCTCAGTTTTCATTTTGAATACAGTAACTACCAATAGATACAACTCATAACCTGAAGCTCTGAGAGGCCCTCCTTGGATAGGAGAATCAAAGGGTCCTGACTTGCAAATGTGTGCACATCCATGATCTAGTCCAGCTAGCCTGGCAGGGCAGGAAAGTCCTCTGCAGGCTTCTGAAATGGGGCCATGAGGCTCTGGTGGAATGCTTAGTTCCCAGCGTTGATTGTACTGTGCAGCACTTACTGAGGGCCAGAGGACTCCAAGAGGGCTGTTTACAATGGAAAGCACCTTATCTGACTAGAACACATCTGAGTGAGGCATCTGCTAACCAGTTGTTCCCTGCCAATTGAATCAGTGCACAAACACAGCACTGTTACTCCTCAGAGAAAGGGAGAAAAATAATAGTTGTCCTACTTATCTGCTTTCATGTCATTATTTTTTTAATGAAAGCTTTTTTTTGGTTTAGTTTTTACAAAAGCAGTGCTTGCTCACTGCAGAAAATAGGCAAAAAGAAGCACATAAAAGAGCCCATCAGCTAGCTCATCTTAGCTTGCCATTTATTGATGAGAACTAACTAGGTTCCTCCTATTGGAAGAATTACAAGATTGATTCTCTCTACCTCCAAGTTCAGAATAGGATTTGGAGGAGTAAAAGTTAATAATGTAGCTATATCCAGTTTTGTTTTTTTTTTTTTTTGTGGTACCAGGTGTTGAACTCAGGACCTTGCGCTTGTGACGCAGGCACAGTGCCACTGAGCTACATCCCTGGCCCTAAATCCAGTTTTTAAAAGGTTCCAGGATGCAAAAGAAACTATCGTTTTATGCAGCTGTTTTTTTCAGACAGCTCTCTTGGTTCAGTGTGGAGCCCAAATTACTCCCATGTACCTTTTGCATCCTAAAAATTTAGCAAGTTAGGGCTAGGAGTTTAGCTGAGTGGTGCCGCCACTTGCCTTGAAATCGAAAGGTCCTGAGTTTGATCCCCATACCAAAAAAAAAAAAATATTTGGCAGGTCTTTAGTTGTTTAATGGGTTTTGCATATTACTTTTCAATTGCAAATTGAATAGTACTTATCAGGTAACTGCTGTGTACCTGGTACTGTGCCTGGGTCCTGCAGAGGGTACCAGTGAGGGAGGGTTTATCCTGAATGCAGTCTCATTAGCCTCAGTGAACTGGCGGTGCAAGTTTCATTTTGTGACTCCCCTCTGTAATTTTATTACTCTATCCCAGCTCCACCAGTAGCCTTTTCAAAATACAATGGACCCTTGACTTACGAACTCCATCAGTTCCTGAGGGCTGGTTGTAGCTCAAGTCAGTTGTAAGTCAATACAGCTGAGATCTGGATGTTTACCTGGGTACATGCTATCGATAACAAGAGGCAGATGAATCGTCCATTAACCTAATGAACCCAAGTTGCTCCATATGTCAGGCCAGTCAACTTGAGGGTCCACTGTAACTGCTTTAGAGCGGGGGATGTGGCTCAAGGGAGTACTTATCTAGCATGCATGAGGCCCTTGGTTTGAGGCCCAGCACCATGGGAAAAATACAGCTGCTGTAGGGTTAAGTATAGAAAAGAATTCTTAGTATCTATGTATTGGTCTTTTTCACAGAAATTAAATTGTGCTGACCTTTATTTGAATGAATTACAACCAATCAGAAAATTCTAGAAAAAAAACTATATAACTTAGAGACATTATAAGAAAAGCAATGGAGTGAAAGTCCTTTCCTAGCATCATTGCTTAATGTTTCCTTTGTGACATCATGGATTTCAGAATTCTGTGGTTGATTCCTATAACTACTTCTGTTTTTTGTTTTTTGGGTTTTTTTGGTTGAATGAGGCAATTTTTAAAGTATATTTAAGTATTAAGGCTCTTTTGTGTGAGAAGAATCTCCTATAAATATCCTAGGTATGCTCAGTGTGATGGCACATGCCTGTAATCCCAGTACTCGGGAGGCTGTGGCAGGAGGATCACCTCAAGTTCAAGGCCAGCCTGAATTACATAGTGAGACATTGCCTCAAAAACTATATATCCCTCCTGTACACTTCACTGGTGGGAGTCCTTCCTTCCCACAAATGTTATTGATGTCTGTTGTGTCCCACTCACTATACTTGATGAAAGGAACAGAGGAGTGGACAGGACAGATGAGATTCTGCTCTCATGGAACTTACCTTTTTGGGGGGAGGGTTTGAGACAGGGTCCCATTATATAATTCAGGCTGGCCTTGAACTCAAACTCCTGTCTCAGTAATCCTCCTGCCTCAGCCTAACTTCTGGGATTACAGGCATGTACCACCAGTCCCAAGGGTTGGAACTTACATTTTAATGGCACGGTGCGGGGGTGGGGGGGGGACGGACGGAAAATTAAACAACAGAATTTCAGACAGTGATGAACACTGTAAAGAAATCAGATAACAAGGAGGAAGAACGAGCGGCTGAGGGGTGGGTGATGGGCTCTGGGATGACCTGTCTTAATATTATGGATCAGAGGGCTTTCTGTTGTTGGGTGACATTTGGGCAGAGACTTAGCTGTTTGAAGGAAGGTGATCACGTGACCATTGGGGGAACAAGAATAAATCTTGTCTTTCCCAAAGTCTTAGGTTATTACACTAGCCTATTTTCTGTTCTTTTTTTTCTCCTGGTTCCTGGTAAGTCTCCCTTATGGTTTTTAGTCTCGGAGAGCA